ATACATATATGTGTGCGTATATACACACAAACACAGTGGGATACTAGTCAGGCTTTGAAAATGAGATACTGCCATTTGTAACAACATGAACGAACATAGAGGACATTATACTAAGTGAAATAATACAGACAAGTAAAGACAAATAGTTATGATTTCATTTATATATATAATGTGAAAAAAATCAAACTCATAATATTATAAAAGAGAGTAGAGTGGTCGTTATCAGGGGCTGAAAATTGGGGGGGAGGAGGAGAGATTGGTCAAAGGGTATATACTTTCAGTTATCAACTAAATAAGTTCTGTAGACCTAATGCATAGTATGGTGACTTTAGTTAATAATAATGTATTGTATGCTTGAAATTTGTTAAGAGAGCATATCTCAAGTGTTCTCACCACATATACAAAAAGTGGTAACTATGTGAGAAAATGGACATATTAATTTGCTTGATTGTGATAATCATTTCCCTATATATGTATATCAAGTCATCATGCTATACATTTTATATATAATTTATTAGTCAATTATACCTCAGTAAAGGTGGAAAAAAATAAAGATAATATCAACCATCCCACCCAGCTATTAGCCAGAAGTACAGCTTCTGAAAAAATCATTAAAGTAAGGTTTCTACTAAGACAGTGTTCCCACAACAGACAATGTGAAGATTTAAAAACTTTAGTGTATTTATTACAAAATACAATAAGGCAAAAATCCAATGTAAAAAATAAATATTGGGTTGATTCTTGGATATATGCAAAAAAGTAGCCAGAACATTTATTATCATAATTGAGTGATATTGTTCTTTTAATAAAATAAGAAAAAAGATATTATTATTCCATTTAAACTAGCAGCAAAAAAGTAATATACTAGGAATAAATTAACAGAAGAAGTGCATGACTTGTCTACTTAAAAGTAGATAATATCATTGAAATAAATTAAAGACCTAATGAATGAAAAGACATACCTCATTCATAGATCAGAAGACACAGTATTATTAATATGAAGTACTAATACTTATTATAACATGGATGAACCTCAAAAGCATTATACAAAGTGGAAGAATTAGTCCCTAAAGGTCACATATGGTATGATTCCATTCATATTAAATATCCAGAAAAGGTAAATCCATAGAGACAGAAAGTAGATTAGTAGTTTTCCAGTGCTGGAATAAGGGGTGTGGTGTGCTAATGGGTATGTGGCTCATATTTTGAGGTGGTGAAATGTTTTAAAATTAGATTGTGGTGCTGCCTGAACAATTCTGTGAATATACTAAAAAAATACTGACTTGTACACTTTTAATGGGTAAATTCTGTATTATGTTAATTATATCTCAATACAATTGTTTAAAAATGATCCCTGCTAACTCTACCCACCCAACACAGATTACTATTACTTTTTTTAAAACTTGAATACTTTCCCGAGAGTCATTTTGACCAAGTCATTTTGATCTTCATTTTCCCTAGGTAAAAATAACATTTATGTGTTGGTATAGGTTAGGGTGCCATGACGTTTAAAGTTTCTACAACTATTAAACTTTCATGTATATATTTTTAAAAGCACTGAAGTCCACAAGTACTGAAGAAGGTTGGGAGGCACTTTTACTAATGGGAATATATTATACTTATAAAGTGTTTTTTAAAGGAATTTCAAGTATTCTGCTTCTATTCATTCTTAAGACCTTATGAAGTTCATAAGAGATGGGAATGCAGTTAGTTATCAAGCCAAAATAATAATTGAGACAATAAGTCCTGTATTTATAGCACCTGTCTTTCAAAATGTTTCAATATCTTCATATGGATGGAGATAATAAACTTTAATCACACCAGTACTCTTATGATAAATAGGTGGTCTGACATAGAGGTAATATGAACAGTGAATAGCAACTTTGGAGGGAGACCAATATGGTTGCAATCTGGCCCTATGAGTGAGGTTAGTTTGGAGAATTTTTGAAATGGAACTGGGCTGTGATATCCTGGTATAGTCACATGCTGCCAGTTACCTTAATACCACTTCAACCCTTGATATGATATCTCCAAGAGGCTCCAAACCAGAGCTGATTTCAACTTCTTAGTATCTGCTAGGATTACCTCAATTCGTACTCATTCTCCTAGCTTGGAACTAGACTATCCTCTAGAAATAGGATCTCAACTTGAAGATAACTGGTATAGCAGAGAAAAGAGGCAGGTATCTGTTATATAGTCCCAAGGTCAGAATCCCAAGAGACTTGCTTGCTTGCTTTCAGTTTCATAGCTAGAAAGTTGTAAAGATGACCATTAGTTCTACTGTAAGTCCAACAGTGTGGATGGCAAAACTTCATCAAAACCTTGGAGGGTGACCTCCAGTGATTTCACTTTCCCACACTGCCTTGGTTTTCTCAAATCTCAACTAACTAAAAGCAAGGTGAGGCAAAGTAATGTCCCAAGGGTTCTCTACAAACATTCTCCATCATATTGTCTCAAGTTAAGTTGGCTAGAGGAGGTCTTGTATAGTATAAATAGGAATAAATTGTAAATAGGAATAAATTGTAATGGTGAAGGTGATAGCTGACCTCCAGTGATAGTTGACCTCCAGTCTTCCCTCAGCCAGTAGTACTACATGCTATTTCTTCCTCACTTACCCTTTGAAAATTGAAGGCTCTGCAATATTTTACTTGAAATGGAATGTAAATGAGACCTGGACTGGCAGAGTTTCATTAATGTTCTAGCTAGAAGCTCATATGTATAAGAAAATTTATGCAGAAGGAAAGTACAAAGATACCTGTACATATTGTATCATTTCATGTCACAACATTCCTGTGAAGTAGGTGTTATTAAGCACATTGTCAAATGATGAAACTGTTACACAGAAAGGTTAAGTTACCTGCATGAAGCCACACAAGTAGAAAGTGGTAGATCCTGGATTTGAATCCAGGTCTGTCCAGGTTGTAAGCCCATGCTCTAAATTGTTATGTCAGGTTGTCTTTCTTGTAAGAAGATTACTATTCATAAAATAGTTACTAAGTTTTATTGCATTCAATAAATTTTGGTTTTTTTAATAAAAATATTCAATAAATTTTGTTTTTTTTATAAAAAAACAAAAACAAATTTAATTTCTTTAAAAGTTCTATCAGAAAATAGAGACTATAAAAAGTAAAATCATAAGTTAAATTATCCTTAATGGAGTTGCAGGTTTGTGAAAAGTTACCAATTATATGCTGCATTCTCCCAGGCTTCCTAGTAAGTCAAACAGAGTTGAAATAGTTATGGTGTATGGTATAGTAGAAAAAATAGATGAATAATACATTTCTGATGTGGAATACTGTTATTTACTAGCTATGTGATCCTAGACAAGCAATTAAAATATGGACAATATGCTTGTTTGTCCAAATCATAATGAAGATTAAATGAGATGGGGTATATGAAGTGACTGATGGTGCCTGGCACGTGGTAGGCCCTCAACAGTTGGAAAATGTTACTGTCATTGACATTATTAAAAACATCTCTGAAGGGGTAAAGAAGTACAAAAGAGTAAGTGAATGGAAGGGCTTGGGTTGGGAAGGATCTTAATGTTATCATTCATTGTTATTTTAAACATACTTTAGTAAAGAGCAAACACAGAAAAATGATTCAATTCTCAATAAGGAATGATTATTAATGATGATGATGGAGCTCTTCTTGTCTTAGGGCCAGGTGCCAGAGGGATACTTCTTATACTATGTTATTGCTTTTCATTTTGAAGCAGGGAGTAGTAAGGTGGAGGAAGTTTAAAGAGGATGGTTCCTTAAATTGGCTAGAACACCCTAAAAGTATCTTAAATCCAGATAAATTGTAAGTATTGTGGTTGAGCAGATAAGACAGTCCAGACATTAGCAAGGAAAAATGGCAGACATTTGTGTCCTGCTATTCAAATTCTCTAAAGCAGATTTTTCAAAGGGAAGATCTATGGCTTTAAGAGATGTTCTGTGGTAGGCTTATACCTTACTGTTAAAGTGATTATTTGAAACACATCTGAACAATTCAATAGGTGAAACAGTAATTATACCTATTTTGTACACAGGTCTAAAGTTGCTTTAATTCTTACTCTGAATGTCTTTATAAACTTTTTTAAAACTATCCAATTAATATATCACTTAATATTTTTTTTATTTTATTATGTTAGCATATTACAGGAGTACAAATGTTTAGGTTACATATATTGCCTTTGCCCCACCCAAGTCAAAGCTTAAAGTGTGTCCATCCCCAGAAGATACACACGGCACCCATTAGTTGAGAATATACCCATCCCCTCCTTCCCTCTCCCATCTGCCCGACACCTGATGAATGTTACTACTATATGTGCATTTAAATCATCAGGGAAATGCAAATCAAAATGACAATGAGATACCACTTATCTTCAGTGAGAATGGCCTTTATCAAAAAGTCCTAAAATAATAAATATTGGTGTGTATGTGGAGAGATAAGAACACTCACTTAATGTTTTAATAAAGCATTTACTTTTAGAAAAAGCAGTTGGTTTAAATGCCTCAGGTTCTGACTTGTCAGCCATCTAGAGAAATGATTGAATTCAATGATTGAATTCTAGAGAATGATTGAAAACATTGCCTGGCTATGTACCCAGGGAAGGCACCACTCATATAGTGACATCTCCCCAAAATGCAAACAAAAACTATTACAGGAATAATATATGTTCAAGAGGATGTGCCTAGTCAATTTAATCCTATTTTAATGATTGGAAATGCCATGCTTCCCATAAAGCTACCATTTCCTGAACAAAATCATTTTAAATGTCAGGGGAAATCTGCCATGTTATAAAAATGAATATATTCCGTGGGGAAAAAAGTCTCATCATTTTTAAACATGACAAATAAAGCATGAAATTATTCAAGGAGTTGACCCCAAGCCACTACTTTGAAGCAAAAATCTCAAATTACTTTAAAATATGAATTAAGTAATCTGGGTACAAGTCTAATTTGGTATAAATCCAGTTTTTTAAAAAACTCTTATAAAATAAGTTTATACATTACCTGGTAATTATTTTGGTTTTGTGATAATCTCAATTGGCTTGATGATGCAAAATGTGGAGAAAAATTACTCCGTGATGGATTTGTATTACTGTACATTGTACTTGATGTTGTATGTAATGAGGTCCGTGGGGTCAAATGGTAGTCTCTGTTTTGATAAAGTACATTGTCTGACAAATCTCTAATATTCGCCATTTGTGAATTTGTCATATTTCTTCCTGGCCCAGGCAAAGTTGTACTTTGGTTCTCAGCTCGAAGGGAACTGCCACTTTCATAAAATCTTGAATAGCTTGGTATCTGTGCTCCCATTGATGCCAATTCTTCCTCTCTGGCATATTCATCCTCAGCATCTCCAGTCTCCATCGCAATGGACAAATAAGCTCCTTCTGCTGAGATAGGCTTCTGTGGGGCATTTCCTCCCAGAATTCTCTGGGGGTAATCACTAACTGCCAATGAAAACACTTCACGGATTTCCAAATTTTGTGTTCTACAGTAAGGATCTCTTATAGTTGGCTTTTGTCCACATAAATTATGTGATGCCGGACTTGTGTATTCAGGCTTATATGCCCTTTGAATCCCAACTGGTTCAATTTTGCAAGGTCGGTGGCACACAGATGGCTTTTGAGGTACTGTCATTTCAGAAGCTTGCACTGAAGAGCTTCCATAGTTTTTCTTTGTGTGATTGAATACTGAGTTTCCAGCATTTAGCACACTTGTCTGTCTTGACAAAATAATTGTTTTTTCACCTAGGAGCAGGGAGGCATTTTTACAATGTGCTACTTGTCTTTGGACAGGAATGTGTAACTGAAATTCAGTATCACTTTTACTGGCTGTTTTCTGAATAGGGATTTTATGTGCTTCTGTAATTTGTGTATTTGTATGTTTGGTTGTTCCTTGCCTACTTGATGAACTGGCTGGACTGTATATGCCAGTTACAATGACATCATTATTGGCAGGTGTCCAAGAAGATTGTTGGCTTGAGGGTTGAGAAATATTAACCACATTTCTGACTGTGATGTCTGGAGCTGACAAAGAGGTACCGGAAACAGTTCCTGTTGTTGCTGTTCCTGATTCAGAATTCTTACTACTCATTTTTCTTCTCTTATTGCCAACCCACGTCTGGAAGAATAAAAAATGTTATTATGAAAATATCTTAACAATAAATTAAGAAAAAGCAATTTCTCAGTGATATATTATATTCTCATTTGTCATAGAACCAAAGCTTACACAAAGGTAAAATAAAAAAGATACAATAAAAGAAAAAGAAACTAAAGTATAAGAGTAAAGATGATTAAGGACTCACAATAAATATCTAGGAACTTTGAGATCAGAGTATATTATTGGCCCTCCTCAAAACCATCCAATTAATATGTATCAAAACTTAAAAATGTTTATGTCCTATAACCTAGTGAATATAGTTGTGGTAATTTATCCAAAAATAATCACAGATGTAAACAAAGTCATATGCCATGATGTTTACTATATATTTATTTATAATAGTGAAAAATTAGAAGCATACTAAAGGTAGGCTATTTAATATTATAAAATGCCCATAGTATTGTTAAACAAGCATACATCTGCAATATTAAAGTTCAGTGACTTCTATTGCATGATTATATCATAACAAAATATTCATTATTATAAACTGTATTGCAATATACCTCATACATGCATCTCTGTGCTGTTGGTCTGTTAGAATGTAATACTAGAGGGAAAATTTCTAGGTTTTGATATTTTTAAAGTGACCTCCAATGTATGATGAGCTCTGGTTTCCTCACATTCTCACCAAAGTTTGCATTATATATTTGTAGTCTTTAATTGCTACTTTTATTTGAATTTCTATGGTTACAATATGACTGTGATAGAATTGCTCATCCATTATCTTTACCCATTTTTATATTGGGGTGTTTGTCTTTGTAAATTGATTTGTAAGAGCAATTATCTACTAAAGATAATAACACTTTGTCAAAAGTTGAAAATATTTTTCAGCTTATCATTATAGTAGTTATATTATTCCTTAAACTTTTTACATTTACCAAATTTTACATAATATGCATTATTTTATAAACATAAAAAAGTTATTAATAAAAATAATACCAGTGGTTAGCATTTAGGATTTGATTACAAAATACACACTTTTATATGAGTAATTTATTATAATTATCTTAGTATTATTGCTGTGAATCATGGTTCCTAAAATATACAATTGCAATAAGAAATATTATGTTTCCTAATGTGATTACTAAACTTTATTTATATACCATGATTATTCCAAAATTATAAGCTACCAAAACACATTAAACTATTAAAAATTAAATAAAATAAATGACTAAACAAAAACTTTTAAATGAACTAGTCTTGGATAAACATGGTGCAAGGTATATTTGTTTAACTTTTGTATGAATGTGTTTTTGAAGGCCATATAAATTATCCAATTTTCAGTGTTTATTATACAAAGTATATTTATATGATGTATAATTATATCCAATATTAATGTTGCTGTAATACTGTAAATAAAAGCTTGCATGTACTGGATCCCCATTATGTGTTATTTATACATATTACTTCCTTTGCTAGATGTTTTTTTTTTAATTGTATAAATGAACAAAACTGAGGTTCAGAAATAACAAGTAGCTTGTAAAAGGATATCCTGGGAGCGAGTGGCAGAGCAGAGATTCAAAGCCAATTCTACTTCACTTCAAAGCACATTCTTCTTCCACTACTGCTCATGTAGAGGTTGGAAACTCCTGAAATAGTCATCTCTATCAGCCATTTTACTTTTATAATTATTATTTATCCCATAAAGAAAATGTTTCAGAAACTGGGATGCTTCATTTTGTTTCACATGAGGCAGTGGGAATTTTAAATTCACTCTGATTTACTTTCATGAAACAATAAGAGTGATAACTACAAGAGGAAGGACATATGGATATAAATGTCACAGAAGACAGGGCAGAAAAACTAAATTGTTTAAAGTATATACCCGAGAATTTTTTTTTTAAATGTAAAAAGGTGAATTTTACAAATATTCAAAATAAGTTGTCCATTATGGCTTTTCAAGGAAAAAAATACCTGTGGGAAGTATGATATATTTGTATATAATTTTTACAAAAATATATAAAGGTCCCATGAAAAATAAACTTTCAATGTGAAAGTACAGTGAACTGGTAAAATTTGAATTCAAGAACTCCTATATTTGGGTGGCAGTTCTGGGCCATTTTTCCAAAAATAAACCCTTAACTAACTGTGTTTTCATCACACAATACCTATCTTAACTCAGAAAGTTTGAGTGATTTTAGTGCATTGCAAATTTGTGGTGTACTTACATAGTTTTATAGTTTATACACATATATTTCATATAGTCATGTAGTTTATTAGATATTTGTATTATATATCCATCAAAAAGTAAAATGCTGTAGAATGATATCCACGTATACATGAAACTCAGCTATCTAGAAACCTAGCAACCTCACTTGTCCAGAACACAGCCGAAATGGATGAAACAAGATCCATATACTTCACTAATAGGATAACCTCTAACTTTAAAACTCACTTTCTCTAATTTTATACATAATTTAAACTAATTTGATATCTCAATCTACAACAAATTGGAAATAACAAAATAGGAGGGGCACTGGTGATAGAGGTTGCTGTTAGCAAGCACCCTGATAGTACCCAGACTAAGAATGTTCACTAACATTGCTCACTAAAAGGAAGAAAGGGAAAACATAACAAAACTGATGTGAGAAATCACTACATAGCAGTCTATGGTTCTTTAGCAAGGGGGGAATTAACCCCATATACCTTACCAAGTTGTGAGCATTATTATTTTATAGCACAGTATAATAATTGATTTCCATAATGAAAACCCTGAGTCAAAATATAAGGGCATAATTATTTTCCATATTCTCAATTGAAGAAAAGTAGGAAAGTGTATAAGGAGAAAAGGATATAAGAAATGTTTCTTTTTAAAATGTTGAAAACAAAGACATTTCATTGCCTGAATTTTCCTATTAACTGAATTAAATTTTACTAAAAGTTGCTCTGTATAGGATTCAACATTTAACAATGCGTATAAGATGTACATGATTCTCCTTGTAAATGTCTTATTGATGAGAAAAAAATGAGTCAAACAAAGTCAATATGATGAGATTTGGGGGTTAGGAACTAACAAAGCTATTCTATATAGAAACAAACAAACAGAAAAACAAAGGAATTTGAGGCATCAATTCTTGGTATCCATAAAATTCTCTTTCAGTTCTCTCAGAAATTCACTGTCTCTAAATCTCTTTCCTTTTTCTATACCTCCTTTTTTCCTACTCCTTTACTCCGCTAAATATATTGTTGCTTGGGTGTTTTAACCTTTTAAGTTTTTGTTACATTGGGATCAAGTTCTTAATACAGTGGAACTTGTGTTTTTTTTAAGGAAAACAACAAATAATACAGTAAAAATAATAAAGGTCGCTTTCAAGGAGAACATATATCTAGCAAAATATCAATAACAGGATAGTGAAGTTGTGGAATGATGAGTCTTCAAACAACTCTCTTTTCCTGAAACTGGAAAAGCTATCAAAACTGCACTGGGATTTAGATTAGGAAGACTGAATTTCTGTACAATTTATACTGTCCTGGAATAGAGATAATAAATCTGTTTTATACAATTGCTCAAAACATAATATTTTACTTGTAATCTTATATTTTAAGAATTTATATCATTCATTCCCATCATCTCTTTTAGATTTTTACACCATTTGGAGCATAAATATAAATATCTGTATTTTGACACTCTCAATATTCAAGCACAATCAAGTTATGAGGTGAAGATTGCAATAACAAATTGGAAATATGAAAGATAATAGTCCACAATGCAGCTGCCTGGGAAAGATAATAGTCCACAATGCAGCTGCATTCACTTTAAGGTAATGGTAAGATAAAAGGAAGAGAAAAAAAACAGAGGAAATTACTGCAGAAAAAAATTAGTTCGTACTTATAAAATACAAATATCATCAACTTGAAATAGTACACACTTTTATATTACTGTTTCTAAGACAATTAAATATTTTCCTGGGAAGTTTAGTAAAGGTATTTCAAATAGGGCAGCTAGAGGTATCAATAGTAGATATTCTTACAGAAATCTGAGCATGATAGTTGGTTTCAGCAAATAAGAAACAGATATCCTAGATATTTTACCCTGGAATTGGTGTCATTTAATTCCCTATTTGAAAGTGAATATATCCTTTAGTCTTTAGGAAATGCATTTTCCAAAGAATTTTTCCTGTCAAGAGATTTTTACCTTTAGAGTCTTTGAAGGTACAAGCAACAGCAAACTAAACTTAAAAACACATGTCCTTTCTCTTTCCCAAATTGGCCTAATGAAAGCCAATGATGGGAAAGTGGCTCATCTTTGAATCACTAAGGTTTCACACCAAGAGGATTTGTAGCATGTTCAAACAGACATGAACGGACCTATGCATTCAATAATATCTGTGACTAGTTCTATTAGATCTATCTCTTACCTCCTCTCTATCACCTTCTATGATTATCATAAAGAAAAATTTCCTCCCTTGGGATTTTTTGTCCCTTTCTCACTAACCCACTAAAATGCATGCATTTTACTTAGAAGCAGAAAGCATTCAAAAAACATACTAGGTTTTTCTAAAAACACAAAAATACTAAAGTTATAAATGACTGATGAAAAATTAAAATACAATAAAAATATGCTAGGTACACAATATTCCCTCAGTCAATGCCTGTTTTATTGATCTCATTTTGGGGGCTTATAGCTACATTAATTTGGAATTTAAAGAAAGCATAAGATCAACAATTAATCTTTTTTATTTTTATTTTTTTTATTTCAGCATATTATGGGGGTACAAATGTTAAGGTTATGTATATTGCCCATGCCTCCCCTCCCCCCTCGAGCCAGAGCTTCAAGAGTGACCATCCCCCAAACGTTGCACATCTCACTCATTATGTTTGTATATACCCATCCCCTTCTCCCCCCTCCCACCAGCTCGATACCCAATAAATGTTATTCCTGTATGTCCACTTAGGTGTTGATCCATTAATACCAGTTTGCTGGTGAGTACATGTGGTGCTTCAACAATTAATCTTAAGGGTATTTATTAGTTTAAAGAACTGAGCTTTTTAAAGATATGTTTATACTGCAAAGGTTTTAGTGTTTTCAAAGTAATTATAGAAACAAATATATACTAAATGATTAGCTCTATTTATCAAAAATTAGTATTGTGATACCAGGGAAAATAAGATATTTATAATGTTACTGACTTCATACACTGAATAATTTTTTCATATTAAGCAAATATCACTTGGAATAAAGTGTAAGACCTCAATACTTACCCTGACTACACTGAAGTCCAGTTTAGTTTCCTGTGCACACTGTAATATGAGCTGAAAGCAATTTTTACTTTGATTTGTCATTCCATTTTCATAATAACGCTGTAAAATCCTTTGTTGTTCTACAGTAAATACAGAACGTAGATTCATCTAAAAATAAAAGAAGATACTCTGAAAATTGGAATAAAAATTTGGTATGTGTAGAATTTGTACACTTTTGTTTTTTGATACAATTTCAATGCTTCAAAGCTGCAAGATTTCTTTAATGTAATTAATCCCCAGTAATGGGCAATAATTTGTGTGCTAAAGGGAGACAGCGTCTTACTGAAAAAATATGTGTAATGCAAATACCTATTGAATTTGGTCAGAAAAGGTACCAAGTTTAAAGACAAATATATATATATATATATATGTAAGAAAAAACAGGAAAGCACTTATCTGGTTAGTGTCAGTGCATGGAGAAAAAAAGGTTCTTTCACTGAAATAAATATTTATAACGAGTAAAGCCAGAGATGATGGTAGTCACACATGGTCAATTATCAACAGGGCCACACACTGTTCTTTGTCAAGCAAGGCATCTGGCGTATGTCTTACAAACAAAAGCTGTGCTCTGGAATAAAATGTTGCTTTTATTTTTTCTCTTTCCAAAATAAAGGGGGTCTTTTTATATATTAAAACAAAATCTCTTTTTAAAGCTTAAACATAAACAGGAAGGTTTAGTGAGTGTGAAAATTTCTTTGCTTTAGGAAACTCAATACTAACCAAAATAATTATTTTAATAATTATAGCATGTAAATCAAAATTCAAAATAACATGTGTTTTACTAAAAATAAACCATATAAAAACTATGTACCTTTTAATTAAATTGACACCATCAGAATTGGACAACATAAGTAAAAAAAACAAACAAACAAACAAAAAAAACTTCTTAGTCTTTCCTGCCAAAACACAAAATGTTTAATAATTAAGAGAAAATAGCTCTGTGAATCTAAATAACAAAAATCAAGTCAAACTCTTTTTTTAAAAGGATGAATTCTAATAGTGTACTTTATAAAGAACCCTTGAATTTGATTAAGGCAATTTCATGTTCTTCTTAAAAGTTGTCACACTAAAATTGTTAGTCTTAAAAGTTAACAGATAGAAAAAAACCTTTCCCGAGGAAAGATCTCTTCAAAATTAGGAAAACAGCAACAATGGAACACTATAAGCCAAAGTAAACAGAAAAATTTCTAGTATACCCTGTATGGAAACAAACAAGTACATTGACATGGAAATAAAAAATAACTTCTCTTTTTGTGAATACCTTGAAAAATAAAACCATCTCATAAGGAAATGAATGACAGTCATACAGACATCCACCGAAATTTGTTCACCTGACTTTCTTGCCCACACAAGCATCAGTTCCCCTATGCAATGTTAAGAGATCTCGTAGGAGAAAATCAGATGTGGGAGAGGCACCAGGAAAGATTAGGGTGGAGTTTCTCACTGAAACATCAGAGACAAAGACCTGCACTAACTTTCTTTTTTTTTTTTTTAATTTCAGAATATTATGGGAGTACAAATACTTTGGTTACATATATTGCCTTTGTACCACCCACGTCTGAGCTACAAGCCTGTCCATCCCCCAGAAGGTGTGCACCACACCCATTAGATGTGAATTCACCCATTTCCTCCTCCATCCTCCCACGTGCCAAATACCCTGTGAATGTTACTTCCATATATGCATGTAAGTGTTGACCAATGACTGCCAATTTAATGGTGAGTATATGTGGTGCTTGTTTTCCCATTCTTGTGATAATTCACATAGCAGAATGGGCTCCAGTTCCATCCAGGATAATACATGAGGTATTAGTTCACCATTGTTTTGTATTGCTGAATAGTACTCCATGGTATACATATACCACATTTTATTAACCCAGTCATGTACTGATGGACACTTAGGTTGATTCCACATCTTTGCAACAGTGAATTGTGCTGCTATAGACATTTGAGTGCGGATGTCTCTAAAAAACCAAATATAAAACCATCCTTACACAGTCATTAGATCTTTGACAAAGCAGACAAAAATATACACTGAAAAAAAAAGAATCCATATTCAATAAATGGTGCTGGGAAAATTGGATAGCCACATGTAGAAGACTGAAACAGGATTGCCACCTCTCACCTCTCACAAAAATCAACTCATGATGGATAACAGACTTAAACCTAAGACATGAAACCATACGAATTTTAGAAGAAAATGCTGGAAAAACTCTTATAGACATCAGCCTAGGCAAAGAATTTATGAAGAAGATCCAAAAGCAATCACAGCATCAACAAAAATAAATAAATGGGACCTGATCAAATTAAAAAGCTTCTACACAGCCAAAGAAATGGTCACTAGAATGAACAGACAACCTACAGAATGGGAGAAAATATTTGCATGCTACACATCCAATAAAGGGCTGATAACTCGAATCTGCATAGAACTCAGGAAAAGTAACAAGAAAAAATCAAACAACCCCATTAAAAAGTGGGCAAAAGACATGAACAGAAACTTTTTAAAAGAAGACAGATTAATGATCAACAAATATATGAAAAATTGCTCAACATATCTAATCATCAGGGAAATGCATATAAAAACCACAATGAGGTGTCACTTAACTCCAATGAGAATGATTTTTATCAAAAAGTCCCAAAATAACAAGTGCTGGCATGGACATGAAAAGATAGGAACACTCATCCACTGATGGTGGGACCGCAAACTAGTACAACCTATGTGGAAGGTAATATGGAGATACCTCAAAGAACTGAAAACAGAACTGCCTTTTGATCCAGCAACCTCACTAGTGGATATTTACCCAAAGGAAAAAAAGACCTGCACTAACTCTCTGAAGGATGTCTCATTCAAATACTCTAATGGGTAAGCCTAAACCTGACCAAATTTTCAAGGACGTTTGGACCGATGGGTAGAGACACTATCCATCAAAGCAATTTTTATTATCATGGCTGCTAGCTTTCAGAGCAATTTGGGGTTCCTCTTCCTAAATATTTCAGCCACAATCTGGAGAAGATACAGAATATGTACTACAAATACCCGAAAACTTCATCTGGTGTGGATTTAGAAACATGGTACTTTGATAAAGGTTCTGAGAATGCTGGTAAACTCCAATTCACTAACACATAATCATGGTAATAATGGCTCTGGTCCTCCTCTGCAGGGCTGTACCTCCTTCAAAAAGCCTAGAATGGAAGATATGGGTGATCACCAAGTGTAATTATATCTGCCCTAATAACATAGGAATATTTTCCTATAGGCTGATTGCAACTGTTACAATTATCTAAGTATGCTATGAACCTTACAAAGCACAGGAGGTCCTTCCTTACCAATATGAATAGCCAAATATAGGTGACTAAATACTAAACAGATTCTGGATTCTACAACTCAGACAACAGACAAGCTGTGAACTTTTTAGGTTTTCCTTAAATTCAGTAGCAAAAGCAGAAAGTCCACTTTGCTCAAGAGATCTACTACTTTTCTTTCAAATTATAGAAAGTTCATTCTTTACTGTGACAACTAGATAACCCCGTATGAGCAAGATAACTGACATTGTCACCATTCATCCTAGTTATCTTTGTCTATGAAGTGGCAAGATACTGAAAACTGCACAACCATCATTTGCAATAATTTGCAAAAAATAATCAGGAAGAGAGTCTTTAAAATATTTTTTTTTTATTTTGGCATATCACGGGCATACAAATTTTAAGGTTTCAATAAATGCCCTTTCTCCCCTCCCCCCACAAGTCTGAGTTTCCAGAATAACCATCCCCCAGATGGAGCACATCACACTCATTATGTATGTATATACCCGCCCCCCTCCAACCTCCCACCTGCCCAATACCCTATTACAGTTGTACCTATGTGTCCACTTAGGTGATGCTCAGTTAATACTAGTTTGCTGGTGAGTATATGTGGTGCTTGTTTTTCCATTCTTGGGATACTTCACTTAGTAGTATGGGTTCTAGCTCTAACCAGGAAAATATAAGATGTGCTATGTCACCGTTGTTTCTTAGAGCTGAATAGTACTCCATGGTATACATATACCACATTTTATTAATCCATTCTTGGATTGATGGGCACCTGGGCTGTTTCCACAGCCTTGCAATTATGAATTGTGCTGCTATAAACATTCGAGTGCAGGTGTCTTTTTTGTAGAGTGTCATTGGATCTTTTGGGTAATGGCTAGTAATGGGATTGCTGGATCAAATGGTAGATTCACTTGTATTGCTTTAAAGTATCTCCATATTGCTTTCCACAGAGGTTGAACTAGTTTGCAGTCCCACCAGCAGTGTAGGAGTGTTCCTTTCTCTCCGCATTCACGCCAGCATTTATTGTTTGGAGAATTTTTAATAAAGGCCATTCTCACTGGAGTTAAGTGATATCTCACTGTAGTTTTGATTTGCATTTCCCTGATGATTAGAGATGTTGAGCATTTTTTCATGTTTGTTGGTCATTCTGTCTTCTTTAGAAAAGTTTCTGTTCAAGTCCTTTGCCCACTTTTTAATAGGGTTGTTTTATTTTTTCCTGCTGATTTTCATGAGTTCTAAGTATATTCTAGTTATCAGCCCCTTATCAGATGCGTAGGATGCAAAAGTTTTCTCCCATTCTGTAGGTTGTCTGTTTATTTTGATGACTGTTTCTTCGTCTGTGCAGAAGCTTTTTAGTTTGATCATGTCCCATTTATTTATTTTTGTTGCTGCTTTGATTGCCTTTGGGGACTTCTTCATAAACTCTTTGCCTAGGCCGATGACTAGGAGTGTGTTTCCAACATTTTCCTCTAGAATCCTAATAGTTTCATACCTTAGGTTTAAGTCTGTTATCCAGCATGAGTTGATTTTTGTGAGAGGTGAAAGGTGTGGGTCCTTGCTTTAGCCTTCAAGTGGCTATCCAGTTTTCCCAGCACCATTTATTGAAAAGGGATTCTTTTCCCCAGCGTATGTTTTTGTCTGCTTTGTCAAAGATTAGATGGCTAACTGAGGATGGTTTTATATCAGTATTCTCAGATCTGTTCCACTGATCAATATTCCTATTTTTGTGCCAATACCATATTGATTTAATTACTATAGCTTTGTAGTATAGTTTGTTATCTGGCATATTAATACCTCCCATT